TGTCAAAACTCAACTCTACTCTCTATCTCCATTTTCGTTTCAGTTCATCACCATTGCTTCAACTTTCAATTTGTTTCTGTTTCATTTTCTTTTGATTTCTGATTGTGGGTTGATGAAGAGTTTGGTTCGGAAATTGATGAAGTGTTGAATGGCTATTTTTTGGGTTTAGATGTTTGATGTGGGTGGTTGAATCTGGGTTTAAGAAATGGGTTACAATTTGCGGATCGTTGTTGGAGGTTATGTTGTTGGTTAAGATTTGAAGAATAGGAGCGGAAGATGGAAGGGTGTCTTGCGGTTTTCAAATCGGAGGAAGTCGAGGGATTTGGTGAGTATTTCTAAAGATTGAAGGTGAAGAGATTCGAAAGAAGGTGATGGTGACGGGGTTTTCTGCGAATGAGTTTGAAGGTGCAGATGAAGATTGAGGTTGAGGTTTGTGAATCCGAGTTTGTTTTGATGAAGATGTGTGAAGGGTTTTCTGGAAATCTTGTGAAGAAGAAGGAAATGGGTTTTGATTGTTAATGGGTATGAAATTTGAAGAAGAAGATGGAGGTAAAAGAAGATGTTTTGAAGGGTTTCGTTTGGTTGGAGATGGATTTGGTTTAATGAAAATGGTGAAGAGTTTGGAGCGACGATGGTTCTATTGGTTGCGTTTTTTGACTGAGAATGATGAACAGTGGATTCCGGCTGGTGTGCGGCTAGGGCTGCTAGGTTTTTTTCCGAACGGATAAAGATGATGAATGGTGTAAGGACAGGGAGGCCCAACAGTCTAGGATTTTGGGATCTGGGGAAAGAGACAATGAATATTAAACTATATACTACCAATGTGACACGTGTACATGGCTTATGATTTTGCTAATGCTGATTAATAATGCTGAATTAAAAGTCTAATGAATATTACTCCTAATTAACTAACTAATAAATCAAGACTAAGAAAGACTAATCCTAATACATAATGCTAATCTAAGTCTAATTACTTAATCTAAACTAATAATATTCTAATTCAATTCTATTAAAAAAAAACTATTTCTATTCTAATTAAAAATCTATTTCTAATAAAATTCTAAATAAATCCTATAAAAATTCTATTCTAAATTTCTAAATTAATCTTCTAAATTAAAATCTAATTTCTATTAGCAATTAGTATCCTGAAAAAGAAAAAAAGTTAGGAAAACATGACAGAATTAAAAGTCACAAAAACAACTTTAGACCACGTGTTACGCTCTCATTGGCCAGAAATGATAAAAATGGAAAACGCCCAATCGTGAGTGGACACGTGTCTAAATGACATGAAATTAAGCAGGCAATGCAAAATTGAAAATAGAATCGAAAAATGCGAAAATATTTGAAAAGAGGTAGGACAAATTTAGGGTATGACACTTGGTTCCGAGCTCCAGTTCTGGGCAGCATACGCATTACTCTGAAACCGTAAAATAGTAAACTACTTAACACGATAAAGTGTTTTTATGTTGGTAAATAGAATGAATGAAAACTTACTATGGAATTGGAAGTTTAAGTAAGTGTGTTATTATGCTCGAGTCTTCATCTGTGACAGTGACTTTCCCATTGCGGTCATCATCCTTGAGGTGGGGCTTTGCAGTATTCTAAAAACAAAAAGAAGCAATTTATTAGGCAATCTATGTGTTTTGGTATTAGATCATTAGTGTGTTTAACATTTATAATATGTGATATGTCCAGCTATGACAAAACATGTCTCGGTAGGAATCATGGCATCTTCAATCTGTTGTATGACGTCTTTATCCTGAGTAAGTTTGATGACTGAGGTCTGTTTGTAGAATGGATGAAATTTGACACGAAAAGCAAACGACTTTTTCAGGAGATTGCCAAGGTGTGCAGGGTAAATCAAGGGATGGTCCTCGTTGGTCTATGAGAATCAATATTAAGTTGTTAGGAAAATATTAAGAAATTGATGCTTGTATAGTGAATTCATGTTAACTAAATATAAGATTATTATTATTATTTAGGGAATCATAATATTGTATAGCTTGGAATAAATATCAATTTCATAAGTATTTTTTTGTAATAATTAAAGAATAGTTTCATAGTTCTGAATAGACATGATACTTATGAATGAGTTATGTATAACTTTTTTTAGTAATGAAGAGTCATCCACACTGTTTGAAACCTAGTAATCAACTGGAAAAAGATGCATGAGACATATTTGATCATTTCCCCTGAGTAAGAAGAGTAAACTTTAGATGGAGATTGAAAACATAATTGAAGTTATTTATTGAATGGAAATTGACAGAATTACAAAGAGTTTCATATTATATACAAACCTGCTTCATTAATTGTCTTAAAGCATTAACAGACATATCGAAAATTGGTATACATTCATTGTCCCAGAATACAAAATTAGCCGTCACGTTGTCATGTTCAACCATAATTTCAATCTTATACCTTAAAAAGTGAAACGTAGAATGTGTTAGAGAAAGGGTTTTGATATGAATACAAAGAACATAATATATGTAATAAAACATGGTTACTTAGTGGTTGAAGTTGAGTTGTTGTAAGTGCACATGCATTGGTTTGTCTTGTTACATTTTGGACAAAGTTCATAGTACCAACCAAAAGGATTAGGCTTGAACCTATTGGTTATGCCAATCGTATTGTAGAAGGATTCCTACGTAAAACAAAAACGGCCATTAAAAAATGCTTACATAATGAGAACCAAAGCAGGGATGATGCCATTAAACAGTTAGATTGAGAAATACTAATTTGCACATAATATATATGTAAGAAAAAAAGTTACATCGTGAAGACTAAGCATCTCTCTAATGCTCTTGACATCTTTTGTAAAGGAAAAAAACTCGTCATCAAATGTCCCTTGTGAGCATGAATTATGTGATCTAGTCTGAGAAGATTCATGAGATGGGTTTCCGTCAAGATATCTGAAGGTTAATACAAAGTATAACTGTTAGGTAAACTGAAAAGTTTATATGAGGATAGAAAGTGAACAAATTGAAACTGCAGTGAGGTATATACTTTGTCTTGAATTCAACAACTTGAGGATGATCAAAATTCACAAGTAGTTTTGAGTCATTCCAAGCATTTGACAAGTTTAGCTTACCTGAGGCTGCATTTAATAGAAAAAATAAAATCTCATAGCAAATAAAAAACTAACAATTATGAAGCAACGCTAGCAAAAACAATAATGGTAAATACATGAACTTTGCCGACACCAAGCATGAGTGAGTATTATGACCAGTCCATTGTCATCACTGTACGACATAAATTGTGTCGCATATGACTACTATATAGTAAAATCAATTTCAGCTCCACTATTAAGACAAAATAAACAATGATTAACATGTTAATAATTGTAAACGCAAAAGATTGACGCGAAATAAAAACTAAATGTAGTGTATTAAACCATTCATCCGACACAGTTAGGTTTACGCAAGCCTTTTTTCCAGATCCCGGAAGTTGAGTCCTAACAACTAGATGAACAGCACCAATCACATCTGCTTAATGATGAATAGAAAGTCAATATGGTGATTGACAAAAACACAGACATTATGGACAAAAACATAAGTCACCGTATAAGCGATCAACTACAAAATCTCCATTTAATAAATCTTGAAAGGACTTAAATTTGAATGTGTGTTATGGAACCTCTGGGATATCTGTGGGTGTGATAGTGGTGGCACGATTCCAAAAAAGCTTGTAGTTGTTGTCATAAACTTTTAAGGATATGTCATTGATCAAAGGTTCTTCATTATAAACCCAGTAGGTATCGTCTTCCTGTATGACCTTGTTCCACATTTCAAATTCGCAGGACCGAGTTAGAACATGTACCTGGTCACCCTATTTTATTAAAAACATGGTAAAACAATGAATACAAAAAATATCAAGTTGAAAAATGCGTTTTTCAACAAAGTCAAGGCAAAAAAATAACCTTTGAATCTTGTATAATAGCTTTAAGATGTTGTTGTCCGTTATGCTCCTTAACGTACCATAGATCGACCACACGAACTGCCAGTTTTCAAATGTTATTTTCAGGCTTCAAGTCACTGATTAAAATGGGTGGTCTCGACATGATTCTTCACAAGACTGAAATGAAAACATCAGAACTAAAAATCTTACAATAAACTAAATAAAGTAACATAAAGTAACATTTATCACAAGTATTCCAAAAAATCACATGTTCTTTTAGTTTTGATGTTCATTGTAATGAACTTAAAGATGAAACACGAAAACCACAAGTATTCCAAGAAATTTTTATCATTTTCATTTTGTTTTCCAACGATCAACACAAGTTCGAAAAAACATGCATAATCAAAACATGAACTTTATTATTAAAATCTGAGATTTTCCAAACCTATCTGAAGGAAATGAACACCAAATATTCACAAAACAGTTCTAAAGTTCAACATGACATAAATACATGAACTTTAATATGAAAAACTAAGATTTTACAAAATAAACTACAGAAAACGAACACCAAAAAGTAACTAAATATAATAAATATGAACTTGAAGATGAAACACGAAAACCAAAAGTCATCCATGCTATCAAATGTATAAAAGGAGACATTTCATTAGTAAATTACCATTATGAATAATGCTAAGTTCAAACTTTGAAACAAAGAAAGGGTATATCAGGGAGATGCATGTCCTATTACGAAGTAGATTAAAACACAAAGACTAGAACAGCACGTCCACGTGGCTCCACATCAAAAGTTTAGAAGATTAAACTTTCACGAAACAAAGCAGAGAAGAAATGGCCACACAAACACAAACACAACAATTGCACTCTCCGCCGTATCCACACCTTCCCAATATCCAATTATCCATCCATAGATAACATTCTCAGAGACATTTCATCAAACACTTACCACTCCTCTCTCTGTGTAATGAACTTGAAGCATAAACGAAGGTTAACAGAGGAAAAACCTTTTCTCTTATTCTCACTGTTCGTGAAGACTGCATGAATTGTACAAAGGCTATCTGGTTGAAGTTTCACAAGAAACGACGACAACTATGTCTGTCGCTTCGCCCACCGTTAATATCCATTTTACCAAATTCCTTATTCTTCGTCGTTCTCTCTCGCATCAACCTTCATGTCGATTACGATATCGCCTCGCTCCTAGTAGAGGATTGAACCTTAGTTACTACCAGAGTTGTGTCTCTCACAGGTAAGATTTTAGCTAAACTCGTTTAGGTTTTGGTTTTGGTTTCAGTATTTGCAAATTGAAATTTCATATATTGAAATTTGAAACTGAATGTTTTGTTTGTGACATGTTGATATGATTACAGATTTGTGTTTTTGAATTCTAAGTGTTCCATTACAAATACTGATGTACAATTGGAATTGGATCATGCTAACATCATTGATGAAGATAAAAATGAAGGAGAGTGTTCAATTCTCCAACCTGAATGTCCTGTGCCAATTAAATTCAATACAGACATTCTGCTCTCTGAGGGGACATTTTTAGATTCTCTGTTGACATCGTTACCGGTTGGTTATTTTTCAATTAGGATTGGTTTTTGTTAAGCATTTCAATACTGTTTCTCATCTTTATGTGGTTTGTTCGGCAGGTTTTGTCTAAGGAGGAACAACATGCTCTTGCATCCACTCCAGCACACCCTGCCGCGCTATATGGTGGGATGTTTTTCAACCTTAACAACTCCATCCATAACTTATATATTGTCTCAGTTAGTTATGTTATTGATTCTTATATTGACTTCATTTGCCACCATCCCTAGATGAAGCATGAAGCACTAGCTTGAACAAAAATCCCCGTATTTACTTGACGAATGTAAACCATTAAAAACCATATATATGGAATCAATTGATATCGGCATGACTAGTTTTGTGATTTCATACCTATTTTGATGCTGAAAATCTTAAGTTGGATTGGCTTGATGGATTGTTTTATCTTTTTATTTAAAATTCAAAAGCGCTTTCATTTGCCTGATGTGACAATACTATAAATGCAGTTTATAACATTAGACGTGCTCAACTTAGTGATCTTCTTGTCTTTTTTTTGTTACAAAAATGGTTTGATGGAAGTTATCTTGTCTTATGATCTTATATGTGCATTATGCCTTGTACGTTAATTGATGATTGCGAAATTGAATTGTCTATACGACTCTAACCTTGAAGGTTATATGTTTTCAGCTTTCTATTCTAGTTGCATTGTTGCAAATTTTGTGGAGCAGCTTTGGACTTTTGCGTGGCCTTCTGCCATTGCCTTGATTCATTCAAGCCTCTTGCCAGTTGCTGTGATGGGTTTCTTCACCAAAGTGGCTATAATTGTTGGTGGTCCCTTGGTTGGAAAATTAATGGACCATTTGCCTAGAGTACCTGCATATAACTACTTAACTATCATTCAGGCAAGTTATCTAATGAGCTATATAAAATAAAGCAGGGTGTAGCTATTTTTTTCTTTCTAAACTCAACCTTTTTTCTATTTTCAGGCAGCCACTCAGTTGCTATCTGCAGCTATGATTATCCATGCCCATTCTGTTCCTCCTACTTCAGTGTCTACTTTGTTTCTGCGTCCATGGTTTGTCATATTGGTTTCAGCCGGAGCTATTGAGAAGCTATGCGGTGTAGCTTTGGGGGTTGCAAATGAGCGTGACTGGGTTGTGCTGGTATTGTCACTCATTGATTCTCCAAATCCCTTGATAAGTAATTTTCTATTTATAATATTTACTTATGATCCTTAATGGTTTATTTCCACAGCTCACAGGAGTAAATAGGCCAGTCGCACTTGCCCAGGCAAATGCTTTTCTAAATCGAATTGATCTCTTATCTGAGGTATTTTTGTATATAGTTGCCCTAATTTAATTAGCTTACTTATATATTTCTCTATAAAACAAAAAATATTATCCATCATCCAGTTGAATGAAATATTCATAAACTTTCTTCTGACTTGGGAAACTCTCAAAAAACTTACTTTCAGATAGCTGGAGCATTGCTGTTTGGAATCCTTCTTTCCAAATTTCATCCAGTAACCTGTTTAAAATTTGCTTCTGTCTTAATGATTGGATTACTTCCTGTTACAGTAAGTTATCGACTTTCTATGGCTCCCTTTAATCAGGAGATGAATTCATTCTAATATTGACTAATCATTCTTAATTTGCAGATCGTTCTAACATGTTTAGCCAACAAGCTTTCTACTGGTGTTCTTGATCGGCCCAAGCCATCCCAAACTTGTGGTAGATCATTCAATGAAGATTCTGAACCAGATGCTGAAAGTATAGGTACTATTTTAACCGATCTCTCTTTAGAGATTATGTCATTTTCTTGGATATTTTAAATATGCTTACATCTATCTGTTGGAAAACCAGTGGTTAAAGGTCTGGAAGCCATCAAGCTGGGCTGGAAGGAGTATTTGGGTCAGCCAGTCCTCCCTGCTAGTATTGCGTGGGTTCTCCTCTACTTCAATATTGTTCTCACACCAGGCAGTTTGATGACAGCATTTTTAACACAACATGGTATGAAAATTTCCTCAATGGTCCATTTTTTTGGGAACTTCTTTAATTTCCAACAGGTCATTTATTGCATAAAGGTATAGTGACAATTTGGGGGGGTGGGGGGGGGGGGGGGGGGGGTGTCATATTTTTGATTTATTTTTAATTATCAAATCTTTCACATAAATTACCTAATGCATGGTCAATGCTCCCTCTTTTGCTGCTTACTCATTTCAATGTTAATATCCATTGTCAAGTACAAATTGTGTTTTCAAGTATTGTTAGCTGTGGTCCTCCTTGGAGTTAGGTTATGATTTTTAATATGTTATTGCTAAACTGAATGCTATAACAATCAGTCAAAAAGAAAGAGGAAAAATGAGTAGATTTGATTTGATATAAGGTTTAATGTTGTAATATGCACTTCTGATTGGCCTCATCAATGATTTGATCCCATATTTAAACTAATAATCAATGTCATTTCTCAATTTCTTTAATCTTTCCTTTTCCTTGTTTTATTTGGGGTTGAGGATCAGTTGTTTAGGTTATTTCTCCCTCAATTATTTTACAGGCTTACATCCATCTATCATTGGAGGATTTAGCGGAATGTGTGCTTTTATGGGTGTGGCAGCAACATTCGTGTCTTCAACTCTGGTCAAGCAATTTGGCATTTTAAAGGTATATTTAGCTTTTGACATTTATTTTTAAATATTGCACATGAGAAAGTATGACAACTTATTGAAACAATTCTCATTGTTCCAGGCTGGGGCAGTTGGGTTGGTGTTTCAAGCTTTACTTCTCAGCATGGCTGTTGCTGTATATATGAGTGGATCAATATCACATCAGAGCCCTCTTTTTGTTTTCTTGTTTCTGATCGTAAGTCATTAAATAATGTTTTGCCTTCGATTATTGCTATCTAAACATATAATTATAGCAGCCTTAGTCGTGGCTAGTATATTGAAATGATAGGGATAATTGCTTAAATATCAGCGCGGTAGCTGTATCTGATACTAACACTCGTACAATACTCCTAGATCATATCTAGGGAATATCCTCCATTTTTCTCTCAAGGAAATTGATGACAAATACATTTTAGATACAGCTTTGACATATTTGGGGTACAACATATTGTGAGAGGAGTTAGAATAGATACTCCTATAGTCGTTGTTGGTAAGAGATTCATTAGGGCAGGGAATTTGGTTTTATGTATTGCAACCTCTGAATTTTGTCCATGAAATATAGAGAAAGTACAAAGTTATGGGACAAGGAATGACGGGGTTGAAGCAGTGTTATCCAATTGCCCCGCCATGACCGCTATGGCGGATTTTGGACTTACCGCAATGGTAAATATCAGCCGCTATTGCGGGTTTTTCCGCCATAATCTGCAATAACGGCGCCGCTAAGCGGCCGGTATGGCGGGATTTTGGCTCTCAGCCATGGGCCGCCATCTGCCATTGACAACATTGGGTTGAAGGACCTCAGTAGAGATACGTTATATACTCTGGTGATGTTGGACTTCTTGAATTGGTTAGGTATTCCATTGATGACCAAAATGAAAAGCTATGCTTTTTATACTATGGGGAATAACGAATAATGTAGATGAAAATGATATGATTAGTGTCAGATAGTAAAAAGCAGGCGATTCAGTAGAGCCAAGACTTCTCAAATATGACTAGTGGTGCCTTGTTTGACATTCAAACATGAGTTGGCGGAACTTTCGTAACTTTGCAAAATGTTTATAGTGGAAAGAATATATTTTGATATGGACAAAGGAAATATGTGTGTATATATATGCCTTTTTGTATATTGTGATCATCTCCTGATATGGTTATGTATTACTGAACAATAATCAAAGTCTCTTAACAAATATTAGGTGTTTATACAAAACATACCTTTTTTTTATAAGATCATGTGAATGCATCTAAACCATGTTGCATGGTACGTGTTGTGTATGTGTATCCGACTTCATTAATAAGAATCTATTTCAGCTTGAACCAACTTAATTAATGACCTAAATGGTGATATGGTTGTTCAAGATAGTCAGTTCCATAGATGCTTTTTAAATGCTGGTTAGGTCCTTTTAAATTCTATATTTTTAAATGCTATATGTATTTGTTAGCAAACTAGATTTAGCTTGTATTGGGTTGAAATCGTGGACCTTCCTTGTTTTTGTAACTGGATATCCATGTTGAAATAAAGTTGCAAAAGATCATTGCAATTGAGTATTTGTTAAACAAAAAAACTTTGTATGAGAGGAAAAAAGGCTTGGATGTCCCAAATTGCATTATGTGTTCATTTTTGGAAATGTTCAATCTTGGATTTTGATGCCAAATTAGATCTTCCCAAATTTATTTGAATTAATTTTGTGTGCGTAAATCACTGTTTTTGTCTGTAGATTTTGTCACGGCTAGGACACATGTCATATGATGTTGTAGGGGCACAAATTATCCAAACTGGAATCCCATCATCCAAAGCAAATCTCATTGGGACTACAGAAGTCGCGGTTGCAAGTTTGGCAGAGTCTATGATGCTCGGTGTTGCAATAATTGCAAATGATCCTTCTCATTTTGGATGTTTGGCAATCTTGTCTCTTCTATCAGTGGTTAGTGCAGCATGGATGTTCTGTAGATGGTTGTCGAATCCAACAGACGAACAAAAAAGCCTTTTTTCTTAAAATCCTCCGTTTTGATGTATATGTAAGTGTCCCTTGTATTTATTGCTCCTTGTTTACTGGCAGATTTTTCTATTTGACCTGTCTCATACTATAAAAATGTAACAAAAATATCCTTTTCTTGTTACCCTCAACTTTATGTTTAAGCAAGTAATACTTCATTGTGTTCTAGCATATTTTTCATGTGTATTAGTTTATAAAAAAATGTTCATATTGTGTTTTTTTTTTTCTAACACCAACCCATGCCATGGGTTTCCAACTGTGATTTTATTCTCTTGACTGTCGTCTAACAATATTTAATCTAACCTGTAACTTTTGTTTTTGCAGTTGTTGTATTCCATTAGCTGCCTTATTTGCAAAGACTGGACAAGAACCAAAATGTATTCACATTTAGCATGGTGGATGATTTATCCACACCTGATACAGGAGCCTGAGGTTTTATCTTCTCGCCTGAGGCATTTCCTACGAAAAAATGTACAACATGTCTTGATATAATAGTGCACATAATAAATTAAGTTAGTTAGGTTTCTAGGATTACCATGCACAGCACAAACGTTTGGTAAAGTATTTAATGATTTTTGAATTCTTTTCTGGGGTTTAGAAATGTAAACAGGCTTGCTGCGGAAGCCACTCTGGTATAGGGTTTAGTAATTTCACAGGAAATCACAAGTGCTCACAATTGTTTGGATTTGGGTGAAGTGTTCATTTTGAGCAAATTATGTATGAAATTGATTTTTTAAGAGAGAAATTTGTTGGTTAGTAACTTAAAATTATAATCATATCATGTGTATGTAAGTAGTGATCTTGTGTATTGATTAAACTTATGAAATTGCCATAATTTTATATTCTTTTTTGGTACAACTATAATTTTATATTCTAATATTATTTTAAAATTTCTTATCAGCATTTAATACATTTAAATCATGCATTTTTAATTAATACTGTTAAATTTGAAGTGCAATGCATATAATAGGGAAGTAAAACTTATTTTAATTATTTTAAAGAACTTTATCACCTACTTGGTTTGGACATTAGAGCATCCAAATCCATGAAACTCATTTAACTCTCCAAAGTTAAGAAACGTATTAAAATGTGAAACATCAATATAATTCTAACAAGGTGGTATTGGTTTTAGTGTTGACACAGTTGTAGATATTTATGTTCTTAGTAACACATTTAGTGTTTGATTTTCAATATCAGGATTACAGTTTATCATTAAGTATTCAAAACTCGAGTATTTTAGAAGGATTGGTAAAATCTGAATTTGAATTTTGAATGAATTTTTTTCTCAACAAACTCTATTTATTCAAAAGGTTAATACCAAACAAAATTATGATCATGACATTGCATCATGGATGTGTTTTGAATTTAAGGCTTAAAATGCGTTACTAATGTCCAGGCATCATTCATGGATGTGTCTTGAATTGAAGTATTTTAATATGATTTATTGTTATTACAACTTATAGGAAAAAAAATTAAATGAAAAATAAACTAAAAATAAAAGTACATGCACAGTGAAAGTTGAATGTCCAACATTGTACACTTTGATCCATTTTTCTCCATCACCTACAGTGTCTTATTGCAATCACTCAACAACAGTGTCTTCCTAAGGGCCTAGATTCTCCATGAAAGACATCTATGCATAAAGTGCAAGGGCCTATTTAGAAACTCCATTTGGTTATAATTTCACTTTGTTGTTAGTTGTCTCAATCAGATTTTTTTTCTCCGAATTTCTGTTTCTTTCTTTAGCTTTTATTGGAAAAGTTGATAGTCATGCTTACAATTATTGTGGATGGAAAAGGTGCATTTCCAGGCTTCACTGTTCACTTTTATTCTCCAAATTTTTTTTCCAGATTTTACTGAAAATTATTGGCATATACATCTGGAAGATCTAGAAGACGTATTGAATGAAAAAAATACAAATCCATAAATATAAAAAAGTTATTGAAAATAACTTGATACAAAGATTGAATGGGCTTTTTTGGTAATGAGAAAAAGCCCAGATTTGTTTAGACTTTTGAGCTTTTCATTTTGTCTTGTGATGAAAACAAAATAAAAAACTAATAGGTTTTTGCCTTGTTAACGCCGTTGCGCGGTTTTGACTATTTGTTTGCTGTGGCAAACAAGAAAGGAATGGCAATCATAAACGGCACGTATCCGTCACGCTGGGCCATTTCTTCCAAAACAAAGGAATCATATATCAAATCAATGCTACGTATGTTTAACTTAAGGGGGTTACTTTTCCCATGTTAAGGATCGTTCAAAACTATCATGAAATACATAAATATATTTTTAAACTCATTCCACTCACATGCAATTCATTCTTTTGTAAGTCCAACCTTAATTTTATGTTAAAATTTAATATGAAAAATGCTTCCTATAATTTTAAGAAAGGCACTTTCTTACGAGTTTTAATAAAAAAAATGCGAGACTGCATCTTCCTTATTTCCGGATATTCTTTCAAACTTTCTCAAATTCTAAACTCTTGTACTCTTTCAACTCACTTTTATGTTTTTATTCTCAACATTCAATCAATTAAAGTGCTCAACATTAGACTCACATTTGATAAATTTTTTATTACTCTATACATGCATTTGTAGAAATTGAGTATTAGGTTGTGTAATAAGTGATTTAGATCAGCAATCTGTTTTGAGAATGTTGGATATCCATGTATTTTCGTCATTTTCGTGTTTTCTGAGTCGCACGTAAATAAGAAAATGCACTTCCGTATTTGTTCAAAATTTGATTTTCCAAAAATACGGAAGTGCATTTCCGTAATTTCTGTCTGCATTCTTTGGCTTGATTTTCACTGTGTTTCATTTGAGTTTGATTTTTCTAATATGTAATGCTTGTGTGGTTTAATTATAGGCAACATGATTGAATGAGACTCAGCAGAGTGTCACAACATGCATCAATTCACAAGGAAAGAGTCTGACCATCGCAACCACCGATTGGTTCTAGTCCGTTTGATGCAGAGGCGTCAACTTCTAAGGTTCATGAATCTCCGACTTCGTCTTCTCGAAGGAGGCAGGTGTCACCTCCTAATGTCCCGAAAGTCCCACTGGTCCAGGTTAATGCACCAACTTTCGATGCACCTCCTGATGAGTAGTGGTTTTGCGATGTGATGCAACTATCTAAGCCGGTAGATTTATGCATGATTGATTATTATACTATTAACTATGGTATGTTGTCAGCGTTCGTTGATAGATGACACTCTGAGACGTCATCTTATAATCTTCCACATAGTGAGTTGTCCATCACACTAGACGATGTGTCATGCCTGCTGCATCTTCCGATCAAGGGAAGCTTATTAGACCACTCCAAGATTACTAGAGATGATGCATTGAAGCTGAAGGTAGGTTTTGGGAGCTAACCCAGGTGATTCCCCGAAGGAGATAGAAGACACTTGAGGGTCTCATACTAGATTTAGATTCTTGGAGGGGTTGTATGCAAACCAGCTAGCTGTGACAACAATTGGTACCTAGATACATAATCATTCAGAAGTTTGATCCCCTCTTATCATGGATGTACCTAGATACATTGTCATTCAGAAGTTTCAACAATTAGTGCATTTTAGTTCTATCCCCTCTTATCGCCTTATTGTTTCGGGTAAGAATATTGTATACTTGCTTGATATTTGAGATATTTTAAGGTATTTTCTGTTTCAAAGTTGCAAATATATTTCCGGCTGCACCATGTTTAATGTAATGTTAGAATCGATTTCCATCTCTTCGGTCATAAGTCGGCATACAATGGGATGACCGACTAACTTACGACACATGTCATGATTATGTGTATCATAAATTACATTAAACCTCCATTTATCATATGTCAAAAGGTATCCACGCAACTTATAAGAACACTCACATTTCCTCGAACCTGTGTCATCTTATTTCAACTTTCAGATAGGAATTATGTACTTGCCACTTTTTTCGCACCTCAATGTCACAAATGTAAGTCTTCTATCTGAATCGTTATTCGAGCTTCCAATTATAATGTTGAACCTCGATTTGGTAGCCTTCGTGCGAATCCATAGGAGCATGATCACGAACATAAAACTACTGTTCATTTGTAAATTGGTTGCCAACATAACCTTGACATCCACCAGTTTGACATCCATAGACATAATAGGTTTGGGAAAAACATCAGGGTGCGTCATATCTAAGGTCTGTTAGAACAAGATTTGTTCTTGACATATTCTCTTTTAGCTTTGATGATAACAAAATTACTAAAAGAATAATGGTTTATTTGATGTGTGTTTTATTTATGCAGGTTCTTGTACATAAATAATCAGAACCTGTTTTACTTAGACACACTTGGAGTTGCTTCATTGCTAGCTTTTGGTCACAGAGTCTGAAGAACAATTGCTAGTGTGGTTTGACGAAGACTCTGAACTGAAGGTCTCAACATTCAAACGAGTTTTTACACTTAGTAATTGTATATCAGTATCTGGTACCATTCAGAGTTGGTGATAAAGCTGTGGATTATCCGTACTACTGAAATCAAGTTGTATTGTCTTATCAGCCTGTCAGCTCGAGTCTACAAGATTGCAAGGCTCAAGAAAAACTGGTACGATCTATGGATGTCTGCTCCTAACGACTCTATTAGTACAGAATCTCTTGAAGACTCAAAGGTTAAACGTGTTACACACCGGATTCAGAATATGTTCATCTATCTTCAACGTCTCTTGTACTATGGAGCAAAAGCAAAGACACTTGATCAAGTCACCTTCTCAACGGCTAGTTTCTGGAAAGGCTATATATATGGCTGAAGATTCAAGCTTGAATTTTAACAAGGATTCTTCTGTTGAAGGAGTAGCAAGATCAAGCAATTATCAACTCTATGTAATATGCATATTTTCTGTTTTAGGTTTTAATTGTAAAAACCTTAAGATTTCTTACCCCTGTATATATTAGAAATCTTAAGTGTTTTAGGTCTTTGTTATGGTGATCTCCCGTACCTCTGATGCTTGCATCATGTACACCTTGTTCTCTATTCTCCTG